ATGCTGTCTGCACAGCTCTCATAAGCAGGAGTCTCTCATGTAACTCAAGGGGAAAGTGAAGAGAAAATTCCCATTAGTTGCACCATCAGATGTTGTTTAAAGGTTCTGACTGCTGGGTATGTTGAGATGAATATTACAAAAGTCTGTCGTGGTTCATTATCTGTAAAGTCGTCATGAAACCATAACCAATAGCAATCAGATGATAATTATTTTAATGTTATGACCAATAACTAATAAATAGTTTTTTATGTGGAACATAAAATAAGATATTTTGTGAAATGTGTCAGGCTTTTTTTTTGTCTATTATTCAGTGGTAGTCAGTGGGCTCCAATGTTGTTTGGTTCCTGATGTTCTGCAGAAAATTGCATACAGGTTTGGAATGACATGAGGTTGAGCAAATAATGACAGAATTCACATTTTGGGATGGACTAACCTTTTAATATATCCATTTTGATGAATTCATTTTTTGCAAATTTATCATGCATCCCTATCCGTAATGTGATATGTTTTCCATTGTGGTTGCATTATCAAATTGTGACAATTAGCATAGCTCTATCATGGTATGTGGTCTAAGATAAGTGGATCTAAAGGTAAAAATGCTGAAAAAATGCCTTTGTCATATTTGGCTAAAAGGAATATATGTGACATTTGCTCGTCAAGAATGTCATTTCAGCCAGTCATGCCAATGAAAGTTATTTCTGAGAAATCAGCCTCCTAGTGGCTTACTAGTTGTTGCTGCATTTTAGGCTGTGATGGGGTAAGTGTTTTAACTTAAAAAAAAATGACACACTTCATCTTTAACTGCTTGTGTGTAAGATTTCACACACTCAAATAAGCCTGTTGTAAGCTGCAAGCTACCCTTGTGTTGAACTCTGAGGTTCTCCACAGCAGAACTCCTCTCCTCCTTGTGGCCATATGTTTTAGAGATAACTTGGAGAGCTGATTTGTGGAAACACTGTTTTCCATGGGTTATACATCACTTTTGTCCCCTTCACTGATAGGTGTTCCTGTGTGAATGTTCAGACACATAAAGTTCCATTATTGGGATAGTTCACCCATAAATGAACATTTTGTCATCGTTTACTCGCCTTCACATTCCCAAAATTGTCTTTGACCCCATTGACTTTCATTACACAAACAAAAACAGTTGAAATGATTTCGAAATATCTTTTTTTTTAATTTCTTTGTTCCACAAAAGAAAGAAAGTGTTTGGAACTACATTTTTTGTGTGAGAACAACCTCTCTGGTTGTCTTTTTGCAGCTTGAGAAGCTTTATCACACAGGTTCACACCTGAAGTGACACTGATTTTCCGTGGAATGTCTTCAGTCGTCTTGTTTCCGGGAAGGCGCGGTGGGAAACGTGAGCTGCTGAAAAGGCTGTTGCCACATTTTAATTTCTTTACCATCTTCCCTATTAACGGTCGTGCTACTTGATGGCAAATACCAAAGGCCACCATTTATATCAAAAGGGATTGAGTTTCTCTTCAGCTCCTTGCAGCTCCATCTCCTTGGTGGTATCCCGTGCCCTGACTCTCGCTTTTTTCCTCGTCCTTCTGTTCTCCACGGCCACACTGTTTCACAGTCTAATTACAGGTCAATTAAGGGCTTTCTCCAGCCTTCTGCTGCTCCGGCCCAGGAGGCTTAGAGGCCCGCAAGAGTGGGAGTGAAAGAGATATCATTTCATGTGGAGATCAGGCGAGAGCCCCTTTCAAAGAAGGGATTGAGGAGGAATCCTGAAAGAGAGAAAGCCACCCCACACCTCCCAAAAAAGGAGACTACTGGGACAGGGGCCAAAGGATTATGGGAATATTCATGACCAGATAAAGAGAGAAGACCTATGAATGGATGTGTCCAAAAGCTCATCTCTTAGGTAAACAGGGGTCTAAATGGAGTTTGGACCCTGTTCTCGGACTCACAGAAGCAGGGGAAGGAGCAGTTCTCTCTCCTGTGTCACATTTCCGAGGCGCTGAAAAGACCGTCTTGTTTTAGCCTTTTTTTTAGCTGTCATTCTGCGTTCCTCCATGTGGAACAAACAGATGGCGACCAGAAATAAATATCTGTTTCTCAGTCTTTTCACACACTTTAAGCCCATATACACAAGCTCACATCATCCTTAGCTGTCCATTCTTCTTTAAAACGTTATTGGCTGTAAACGTACACGTTTTCAATTTGACAGTTTCCACGGACTTGCGGTTGGCCCATGCAGCATAGTAGCTTCCATCACGTCCTTCTTCCTTCATACCATGTCTAGAACTTTTGAGTCTCCATTTGTGTATTATAAAGTATTTTTGATGAATAAAAATGGTACAACCATTACTATGCTGGTTTCAAAACAAAGCAAGCCAGAAATGTCATTAATAAATTAACAAAAATATATCCAACAGTATATAAATACTAGGGATGCACAATACAGCGGGTAAAATAAGTATTGAATACGTCATCATTTTTCTCAGTAAATATATTTCTAAAGGGGCTGTTGACTTGAAATTTTCACCAAATGTCGGTAACAACCCAAGTAATCCATACATACAAAGAAAACAAAACAAATAAGTTCAGAAATTAAGTTGAATGAATGAATGAATGATGCATTTATATAGCACTTTATTGTGTGGCCCAGCCAATCAACTGACTTGAATCCAATAGAAAATAAGAACTAAAGATCAGAGTTCATAGAAGAGGCCCACAGAACCTTCAAGATTTGAAGCTCACACCTGAGCAAGGCATGCGACAAGTTTCTCCGTACAGGAGGTGTCTTGAAGCTGTCATTACCAAAAAAGCCTTTTGTACTAAGTATTAAATAAATTTCAGTAGTTCAATACTTTTTCCTGGGTCATTCCATTTTATTACACAGAACTTAATTTCTGAACTTATTTGTTTTGTTTTGTTTGTATGTATGGATTACTTGGGTTGTTACCGACATCTGGTGAAAATTTCATGTCAACAGCACCTTTAGAAATATATTTACTGGGAAAAATAGTGACGTGTTCAATACTTATTTTACCCGCTGTATATGGGGCCTATGATTTATATTTTTTAATCAATTGCTGTTTGCAGATATTTTATATTTATGTTCTGATATTCTGATATTATTTATTTATTTAACTTTTTTCTTTAAGTTTAAAGTATTTAAGAATTACATATAAATTTATAATTTTTATTTATAATATAATTTATAATGTTTATAATAGCGATGTATAATTTATAATTCCTTTATAAAAATTTTATAATTAATTAATATTATATTATATTCAGCCAAAACATGTTATCACTTATCAGTTAATTGGTAAATATCAGTGAATCTTTAATAAATGCATGCGTCACTGTTATTCAGTGACATAAAGTTAGATCAAGTATCCCCAAATTGTTCAGATGGAATGAATTTTATGAATCTTTTCCTGCTGCTATCCTGCATTTTTCAAAAAAGACCAGGGGTGGCTTGAGTTTCATCTCCACACCGGCCGTGTCATAAGGCCCTCTCCAAAACCTAATGCCTGTTATATTTGCTAACCTTCACCATTACTCTTTATGTCCCTAGGCACAAAAAAAGATATTCAAAGTCTAAGCCACAAGATTGCATATGTGTGTGTGTGCAGAAGGTGCTGAAGGGTCATGTTTCCAGGCTTCAGGATATTTGTGAAAGTTGGTGTGTTTGTACGTGTGAGCACGTGTGTGGGTCATGGTATTGTATTTCAGACCTTAGAGATGTCCACAAAGGCTGTCTTATTTCTTTCATCCTACACCTCTGAGGAGAATGGGGAATCCCCACACCACAAATACACCTAAAACGGCTGCACGAGCCTCAGATGACAGTATTTAGTTACAGCCACAAACTTGTAGACCAGTGTCCACTTGAAAAGCCCAGTTAAACTGTTGTCATATGAGACTTTAGATTGTTTGTTCTCACACTATTAGGCCACAAATGGTCTTGCGTGCATACATAACATACATAACAGCTCTGTTCCAAAACCTTACTGAGTGCCAACTGGTCAATGAAACTCACAAGTGACCGATTTGGAAATCACTTAAGGTTCTCAACTAGACTCTCAATTGAATCCAATGCAACATGATTTAAAAATTAATTTGCACTATTTTTTTTTTTTTTTGTGAATGAATGAATTTTTATATTTATAATGTCTCTTTCATCATCAGCCATCTTGGATTTGAATTTATTTCATTTTATGTTTTTTTTTTTTTTTGTGGATGGATCTCACCAAACCACCATATCTGGTGTTTCCGGTCTCATTATTTTTGTATTTAATTGAATATTTTAATGTAAAAATTTTCAAATATTTTGAAAAAAAAAAAAAAAAAGTATTTAAAAAAAAATTAAAGGCAAAACAACCAATAAATTATTATTATTATTAATTATTAATATTATTATTATTATTAATTTTATTTTATTTTTTTATTTTTGTTCACTTTTGGAATAATTTGTGACCTGGACCTCATTGTGGGATTCACCCATGCAAGAACATAAACTGTAAATAGAGAATGAAACTGAATTTCAGATTTGACACCTTTTCATTACCTTTGTTGCACTCTTTCACATAGTTAGAAGTTGTCACCCATTCCCACTCCTCCTCCATGACTCCCTGAAGGGGACAGGCTTTGAAGTAGCATGTGGAGGTGAGGAGGTGCAATAGAACACCACCTCTTCATCATCTGCTCCTCAACCGCATGCACCTTTGAGTGCTGAAATGTCAGTGGCCACCATCTGCTGTTTGAGTGTCAGAGAATGTACCCACAATGGCACTTGACACGACCTGATACTTTATCTGCAGGACAACCTAGAAATATCTGTATGCATTTGAGTCCACTTGAAAGTGCGTCTTTGCAATGATGTGGCCAGGTTAGGGGTTTTCCCAGGAGAAGCTTGAACTTGAGAAGACTAGTGAATTCCGTCAAGTTCAGCGCAGGGGAGATGAAATGGTAATTTTGTGCCATTGAAATGGCAGCATTATTAGTATATGATTTACTCACATTTGCATTTCTCTTTACAGAAAAAGTACGTGAAATTCAGGAGAAACTTGAAGCTTTCATTGAAGCTCTTCACAAAGAGAAATAGAGCAGTAGGTGGTTTTTATTTCTACTGCATGGTTAAAGAGAGAATTTTATAGAAGTAGTTAATGATTCAATGTATCATTAATTAATTATTAATATTTAAATAATTATTATTAATACTATTTGATGATATTATTTAATAATTTATATAAATATATAATTTTTATATTTTTTTTATAACTCTATTTGAAAATATTATGAAATTAGGGCTGCCAAAGTAACTAGAAAAAATGCTAAAACAACTAAGAAATTCATCAATAAATAGCCCTATATATACAGTCCAACCAAAAATTATTCAGACACCAGATATAATTTTTGATTTTTTATTTTTTTTACTAGTGGGTGCAGGACACTATTGTTCATTTATGTAAGTGAGGATAGCAAAACAAAGTAAACTGTGACATATTATACTCAAAAATTCTTCATACAGTGGACTACCAGTAAAATTGATAAAAAGTTGGGACCAAAAATTATTCAGACACTTTGACCCGACCATGTTTTGCTTAAAGGAACACTCCACTATTTTTGAAAATAGGCAAATTTTCCAACTCCCCTAGAG